CTGTTCTCGCATCGACACATCCTTCAGCCGACACGGACGGCACGAGTTTGCTCTAGCCAAATTAATCATGTAGTGGTGAGGGACAAATGCGAACTGTCACTTACGACACTCGGGCGAAAAGAGGTACAGACATTGGATTTTACCATTTCTTAGTGGTCGCGAAGCTCCACCTTCACTTATCTACGGTTTGACGAACATCCTGGAAAGGGGGAGGGGGGAGGAACGCCCTCTTTGAGACGGACAAACTAAATGAACTCGTCACTTGTGAGGCAATCCAGATTCGTTAGCATAGACCAAAACCTGGAGTTGCTATATGCTCGCCTGAAATTGTTGCATTTCCGCTGCGACAGCCAAAACCATCTGCTTCAGCAACAGGATGGGCAAGCAGCTCTTGATCACGACGGAACCCTTGAATATTCACAAGTAGAGAAGCGCGGCGATGTGTCATTACATGATACTAACGAGACAAAGAAAATCGAGCATCGTCTCATCGTGAATGCAGTCGACAGGAGCTACTACGGAGGCAGGCAACGATGGCTCGATCACGATGTACAAAAGCTGGAAAACGTGGCAGCGAAAGAGAATTAGAAGATACTGTACGGCCAGGTAAATACCATCGTCAGCCATTGTAATCAAACGCTTTCCATCGGTCTGATAAACAGAGTCTGGCGAGCCGCTGCTTGACTCTGAAAACCGTACCCTTTCACCGAATTTTGAACAGGCCTTGACCCACGGTAGACTTCGAAGTCGATGAGGACAATTGGCAACATCTGGACGTTGACTGCTCTCCATAACCAGTCGAAGAAATCCGAATAGTGATACAACTCTACCGACAGAATTGGTGCGGAGTTTGTGAAGTGCGGAGGCGAAAGCTTTCTCAAGTGTGCCCACTTTGTTTTCAGCAACACTTAGCAGAAGTCACTGATCCCCATCGACTCAGAGAAAGGCAGGATCATCCCAATTTTCAGATCTGATGGTCACGCCAATTGCATTAACTATCGAAGGATAACTCTGCAGCCTGCGTTAGAGAAGGCGTTCGCGCTTCCAATTATCCTTGGACCACTGAATGAGGCAGTCGTTCTTTCGTTGAGAACAAATTTATCACGCTTCCGGACCGGACACTCATGCACGGACAAATCTTCGTGTTAATAGGAATATTCCAGCAGTGCAGGGGTTTCAGACTGCCTCGGCATGCTACTTTCTTAGCCTTCCGGGCAGCCTTCCATTCTGTACATTGCCAGACCATGTGGAGTCTTGTTCCACAGTATGGAATCTCACAGACGATGATAAATTTAATAGAAGATCTGTACCATGAACCGAAGGTTCATTGTCAGAATAGTTATACATGACCAGCGGAGTTTGGCAAGGCGAGAAGTTTTCTCTTTTCTTATTGATTTTCATGTCGGACTACAAAATGCGAAGATCGTCGTCCGAAATGTCAGCAAGGGGCTGAAAATTAGTTTGCTACACAGCTCGAGGTACTCAGCGGTAATTTTAGCAGACCTTGAATATACGGATGACATTGTCCTGCTGAGCGATTATGCAGGCGGCTTATGAACAGTGAAAACGTGGGCAATGCAGCTACAGAGTGGGGCTGGAAATGAATGCTAGGAAAATGAAGGTCACGAGAACATCCGTCGCGACCTATAGCTAGAGGATTATTTGGAACGGTATTGCGATAGAAGATGTCTTCCTTTTCATATACCTTAGAACAGTGCTGGCTAACGAAGGAGGCATGGATCCTGAAGTGAACAGACGCATCGGACTCGCAACCGCTAATTGAGGCAGGCTGTATGAAATATGGGAAGATCAGATAATAAGAATTGGTTCAAAGATCACCATTGTGAAAGCAGCCGTTTTCGTGGTGCTAATGTAGGGTTCTGGAAACGTCAGCAGTCCTTAAACGTCAGAAAGCTCATCTTAACAGCTTTTGACAGCGTTGTTTATGAAGTATCCTTAAAGCACGGTGGTTCTATGGGACTGCGAGCGTGAAGGTGCTGAAGACCGGCTGTTTGAAAAAACCATCTGAAGAACTCAAAGATCGGCGCCTTGCTTGGTTTGATTAATACACCGGGAACGAAAAGGGAAACATTCATAAAAACTTCCTAACATTGGAACCGTCCATTTGCCACAGACGCGTTGGACGACAATATAAATGCTGAAAGCAACTCCTTGAGGCAGACTTGCTTGCGACGAACAATACAACCTTTGCTGCGGCAGTGAACCTTGCCTGTCAAGCTGCATTGTCATTTCTAACGGTCAGACATCACAGATCTAGCTTACTCCGCGATATAAGTTCTGTTAACCTAAAGCGACAATGAGTAAGCAACAACGGCAAATCATATGATACGATTATCAAATCGATGATCGACTTCTGTTCACAACTTTCCATGCAATCTTCCACAACCTTCATACCATGTATATTGATGCACCTTCGATGCTCGAAGGTGTTCATTAAGTCAGTGCGTTGTTTGCACAAAACCGCAATAACTTCATGCCGTTGTTGTTGAAGTCACCAGGGCGGTTATTTCCAGTCATGCTGTTCCACTTCAGTATCTGCTCCAACATGCGCATTGAAATCGTCCATTAGAATGGTGGATTCTGTAGTCGGTTCTTCGTATAGAACACCTATTTTCTTCAGGAAGGACTCATATTCTCCCTCTGAAGTGGGCGCTTAGACCTGTAAGGCAGTCGAAGTTTTGACCTATTGTAGCTTCAGCAGGATGATAGCGACTTCTTTACTGACAGGCTTCCATTCAATGATTCTGTCAGCCACGTTGGGTTCCCCTTGAGCGTCAACACCTAGAGAGTGCGTTTCGTGATGTCGAACCTGATTTGAATGGCTTCTGCCAGCGGGGGTTCAGAATTCCAGCCCTGGCGCTTCGTTGACGAAGGTCGAACTACGTCTGGTCGCTACCTTGGGGCATCATCAACTAAATCCTGATCTTTTTTTGAGTGAGAA